CATCAGCCTCTTCCGGGAGGGCTGAGTCCCTCAGAGGGCTGAGAGATATCCCCATAACTGGAGATTTTTCTCCACAGCATATAGGCCAGGATGTATTACAACAATTGGAAGTACTGGATGTTGAAGACAGAATAAAACAAATTAAGTTAAATCAAGTTTATAAAATTACTCAGTGTCCAGAATATCTTGCTACCAATTTTGTCAAGGCTGAGAACCAAAGCAATCATACTACACGGGGAGAGAGCACAACTCTGTAGTACCCGCAGTTGCTAGGCTTCAAATACCTTTTATTGTACAGCAATAAAGGAATGGAACAGACTGCCTGCACATTTCAGAGGCAGTCATAGCATGAACCAGTTCAAGAAGAGAGTCAAAAGGTGCCTGACCAATGTAGCAACACAAAGGGAGGAGAATGATTGTTATTTTTTTTAGCTAACACACACACACATGTAGATTTAAATAACTCATTTTGCCTTATTCCTCGTATATTCCCTTTATAGCATAATAGTACAATATTATCTCCTTCATAGTATAATAATACGGTATTAAAAGGGCCCCAATGGAGATAAGTCACTCAGATTTTTTTGGGTTATCCCAGGTTCTCTACACATATGCTGCTATGTATGATAATCTATGTAACTGTATTTGTGTATACCTGAATAAACTTACTTGCAGAGCCTAAACTCGAAAAAAAAATATTTATATCTTACGATACTTCAGCCATTAAGAATGAACTCCATTTTATTTTAAGCTTGGTGAAGTGCTAACCTTGTATGGGTCATATAACACCTATAGAATTGACAGCCTTCAGATTCGATCAGTGGATGACAAGGGTAAGTCCGATTCCTTGGATCAAGAGCTCTCCAACATTAAGGCACTTCTCTTCAGGAAACATAATCCTGTTATAATTTCCAAAATGTGAATACCATTTTGAGATTAAAAGTGTCAGAATGGCGCCCACACAATCCATAAAAAATACCAATCTTCTTCTGAGTAAGATACTCAGTGCTGAAATTTTGATGGTAAAAAAATGGCTTTTTATAGTCATTTAGAGGTGACCAATTTCGGGAATTGCCTAAATAATAACTGAACAGTGTTAAAAATTTGAAGCCAGTCAGCTAAGGCGTTTTGAAGCTATAAACGAAGCCTTGGATGAAGTTAGACGCTGACGAAAAATTTGCATGTTTCACTGAGACGGACTTAAAAATGCTACGGAAATGCGAGTTGTCAACATCTCTCACTTTTGTTTTTCCGTTGTATTTTACTCAAACTTCTCTACAATTCCCTAAGAAAAAATTTTGTTTTTCAAGATAGTCAAGTTGATAAGACACTATAACAGCAACTTTCCACGTACAAAGCCTAAATTTGATATAAAAGTTTGACGTATCAGAAAAAACATTCTGCATCCTGGAGGATATTCCGGGGGTCAACGCCCCCCGTGGCCCGGTCCTTGACCAGGCCTCCAGTTGGATCCAAAGATTCAATTTCTTAATTTTATTAAAACTAATTTGCACCTAAAGTCTAAAATCATTGAGTGCTTTTTTTCTTGTGTAATGTTTCAGTGTTAATATTTTGAAAACTACAAGACGAGACATTATTTATTTATTGGATATCGCTGTCTATATGATAAAAATTGAAAAACTGATGTGTGTGCAACACTTGCGTATCTCTATTGTAGAGACGTGTTGCCACACACTGGCTTCAACAGTCCAATTCAGAGAGGAATGTTTAAAGATCAGAAGTTTGAGCCCCTCAGTCCCTCAGCCCGGAAAACACACTAGCGTTTAAAGTTTGAAGCCAACATTTATAGGCTTTATAAACTAATTTGAAACACTGGCAAATTTGCCTGCACCAGTGGGTACTCACCTAGCCCATTGATGCTGCAGCCATTAAATTCTGAAGCCATTCAGTAGAGGTAGACACCTATATTTATAATATGATTAAACGGGAGTGAGGAAGAAATTTCACTATTTTAATCACAAAATTGCAGTTGTGTACCAACACTTTTTCTTGACTTCCACTTTCCGCTGTTGTCGAATTAAGAATAGCCTTATTTTGAACGTTTTGGAGTCGTGCATCAATGTGTTTTGAAAGACACTTGAGACATTCCTGGATGCTGGGAATGTGTCCTTCAGTTTTAGTTATAGGACACCCGCAGATGTCAGTTGTTCCTAAAATCTTGGTCTAGATACCGTACACCTGCGTTGAAAAAAAGCCGATCAGACAATGGGGTCAGCAAGCAGGAGCAGAGGTTCAGACGATGGAGACAGTAAGCAGGAGCAGAGGTTAGGACGATGGGGACAGCAGGCAGGAGCAGAGGTTCAGACGATGGGAATAGCAGGCAGAAGCAGAGGTTCAGACGATGGGAATAGGCAGGAGCAGAGGTTCAGACGATGGGAATAGCAGGCAGGGGCAAAGGTTCGGTAAAAGTTCAGTTTACTGTGAAAATTTAAGTGACACTTTCTTAGATGTGTTGTGGTGTGAACTTGTATGGGACAAAGGAGGCGTATTTGACAGTGTTATTGCAGAGACGAGGGTTAAGATGTTGCGAAAATAGTGTTCTTGTTTGTATATGTAGTCAAAGTCGAAGGTGTTCCCAGGTTAGACCGGGTGTGTGATTGTCGATTTCAGTTTCTTCGTCTTCAGGTGTAGAAGAAGTAGACAGACCGTAGAGGCTGGGTGGCTTGGGTAGCAGGTGGATGAGGGGTGGCTTGGGAGACTGGTGGGTTAGGAGTGGGTTGGGCAGAAGGTGGGTGAGGAATGGCTTGGGCAACTGGTGGGTCAGGAGTAGGTTGGGCAGAAGGTGGCTTAGGGGTGGCTTGGGCAACTGGTGGGTCAGGGGTGGCTTGGGCAACTGGTGGGTTAGGAGTGGGTTGGGTGATGCCTCTTATATTGAATATTTTCAGTATTTGTTTTGATGGTGCAGTGTCAGGAAACTTCAAACTGGAAAGGCTGTTCAGGCGAAAGAGTTCACTGACTGTGGAGTTGAAGGTTCCAGAGAAGGGTGCGTTTTTCGTGTGGGCATGCATCATGCATTTCATAGTCTTGGTGGGAGGGCCGTCTGGGAGTGTAGGAATAAAGCATTCTGAGTGTCAGCTTGAAGCTTACTGATTACAGCTTAAGTCGATTTACTCCATGAACGGACCCCTGGCTGCAAGAGCGTTATGGTCATTCATGCCGTTGAGATATTTTTGGTCGAGAGATAGAGGTACATTCCCTAAGTTCCCCCTTAGTGCTGCTGTTGGATTAGTATTTCTTTTCCTTCAAAGGACAGTACTTGTTGAGATGGTTGCACAGCAGGTTCAACATTGGGTGATGTGGTTGTATGTTCATGGGATTAATGTGCTAATAAGAGGTCTTCACTGAAGGAATGAGATGCCATGGAGATTTCGGCAAAGTGACCTTGATCACAGAGCTGGCAGTTGGAATTTTCGTGCTAGAGTCAGTCTGATGTTCAATAAGTTGTTTCAAGTCTTCTGATGTTTGGTGACGTCGCGATCAAACTTCTTCACAAATACCTATTTCTTCGGCCTCAACGCAAGGGAAGGAGCCACTTGAGAACGTTCCTTTAAAACGTTTATGGCCGAGGCTCAGGTGATCTCGCCGGCTTCGTCATCGTTAAAGCAGAGGGCGATGACAGTCCTTAAAACCGAAGAGATTGGACAGTTTCAGCTGCAGGGTGGTCGTCAGCAGTGTTGCTAGTCTTGTTTTGTCCTATCCGATATGGTTCTGCGAAGTGGCCGAATACGCATACGGTCATCGATAACTGTTAATGAAAGGCTAGGCCAGTGTTGCTGGCAAACTAGGAAACAGCGGACACAGTAGTGACTTCTGTGTATTCCTGGCACATAGTAGTAGTCTGATAGTTGTGTACTTAGTGTATGTATGAGACTATATCCACCTCCTCCATCACTTCGCTCTCTGCCTCTGTATTTATAGCTTGTCTTCTCTCATACTCATATATTTCAAGTAATGAAGATCTAAGATCCGAAACGACTTTTATAAATATATTCTAACTTAATTCATTTAGGTCCATTTACCACATATTTTTTACTCTTCGTAATATTGGTCAAGCTAAACGACTGAAGTCACACATCATGAAATTACAGATTGTTGCCATATGGGATGGGTTCAAATTGTTGCCACATGAGATTGGTTGAAATTGTTGCCACATGTGATGGGTTCAAATTGTTGCCACATGTGATGGGTTCAAATTGTTGCCACATGGGATGGGTTCAAATTGTTGCCACATGGGATGGGTTGAAATTGTTGCCACATGTGATGGGTTCAAATTGTTGCCACATGAGATTGGTTGAAATTGTTGCCACATGGGATGGGTTCAAATTGTTGCCACATGGGATGGGTTGAAATTGTTGCCACATGTGATGGGTTCAAAATGTTGCCACATGAGATTGGTTGAAATTGTTGCCACATGGGATGGGTTCAAACTGTTGCCACATGAGATTGGTTGAAATTGTTGCCACATGGGATGGGTTCAAATTGTTGCCATATGGGATGGGTTCAAACCGTTGCCATATGGGATGGGTTCAAATTGTTGCCATATGGGATGGGTTCAAATTGTTGCCACATGGGATGGGTTCAAATTGCCATATTGGATGGGTTCAAAATGTTGCCACATGGGATGGGTTGAAATTGTTGCCAAATGGGATGGGTTGAAATTGTTGCCAAATGGGATGGGTTCAAATTGTTGCATTTTGGGATGGGTTCAAATTGTTTCCATATGGGATGGGTTCAAATTGTTTCCATATGGGATGGGTTCAAATTGTTTCCATATGGGATGGGTTCAAATTGTTTCCATATGGGATGGGTTCAAATTATTGCCACATGAGATGGGTTCAAATTGTTGCCATATGGGATGGGTTCAAATCCTACACTGTTCCTGCTTCACATGAGGTAAAATTTATTTCCATTGACTACTTATTGCAAGTGAAATTGTTTATCACTGAAGGTACTTTACTAACTTGCTTTTCTCCTAACAGACGAACGGATGGGAGGTGAACATCCTGTTGACGTGTGGCGTGTTCGTCACTGTGGGTTTGCTTTACGTCGTTGGCGTTATAGCTGACGTACAGGACTGGAACTATTACGAGGAGATTCCCGGCCACACGGAGAAGCCAACACTAAGTGTTAACACTAGTGTTCAACACCTCGGTGATGACCATACTTTTAGTGCTTCATCGTTCCAGCGATTTGGAGCAGCCAGCAGTTAGTACTGTTGAAGCATCTGTATCAACACCTTGGTGATTACCAATTCTGCAAGAACGAATAAAGAAACAAGTATGCATCAGTGAAAAAGCAAAGAACGTGAGATGCATCGCAGCCCACGAAAGCTTCTCATAAAATGGGGTGAAGCTAGTCTATTAAAAAAAAAATAGAAAAGCAGTATTGTTTAGAGGTGGCGATGATAGTATCTAACACAATGGTGCAAAACTCTGGGTTTTACCATATACTGTTGTATCTCAACATGATATTATAGTTAGGTGACATAATGAACCCGCCCTGGATTCACTACCCATGACTATCGCCACCTGTGTTTCAACTGACCACTCTCAGCTGTCTGCTTTCAGTAAACCTTATATAGGAATGACAAATGTTTCCATAAAAAATGTTCTAGTGCCTCACTTTTTTCTTATTTACATGTTTTTCGGTATTGATATATCACCAATCAATGATGTTGACAAGTATAGTAATACTGATCTGTTTTACAATTCATGACTCAGTATATGAAGAAGTCACAAGTTGTAACATGACTCTTCAAGGGAAAGGGGATGCTTATATGTTGGTGGTCTCCTGATCCAAGGAATTGGAGTCACATAACAAGTAAAACAATCTTATACAAAACCCACAAGATTAATAAGACACACACATGCAGCAGTCAGGTATCTTTACTCTCAAAACGTATTATCTACTGAGTAGGATTCAGTAGAATACAAATGTGATAACATTTGAGAGAAAGATGTGATGACTTGCCTTGGAGAAGCAATGTTGAGATGATCCTTCTCTCATCCTTAAGAAGAGTTCAGCTCCATAGTCTTGAACAATGAAAAACTGAGCAGGAGAGAGCAAACACTTCGAAAAAAAGAGCTGGAAAGTCACGACAATCAAAACTCGTGAAGATTTTCGACCAGCATCAGGGTGTTCATGGCGGCAGACGAGGGCGTGTATAGCATGTATGAGTATTTAACTGCCTTTATGAACAAATAAGATTGTACTGCAAATTTAATATCCTCTCAAAAACCAAATGAGAGGATCATCACATAATTCATAATAAGATTTGAAGAAGCTTTAATTTGCAGTATAATTATACAATAGTATGATTACTAACCTGTAGTAGAGTTAGTATGATTCACACATGCTTCAGTTATAGAAGGAAATTTTATACGAGTAGCTGACACAAGAGTTTGGCCTCGGTCTTATTTTCACACTCATTACAGAAACTTCAGTCAAACATGGTGTTTTCTCCGGCCACCTGGTAGCCGATGTTTTCCAAAATAACACCATTTTTTCCAATGCATTTAGCATTGGAAAAAATGCTGAATGCATTGGAGAATGTCTCTTAGTATCAACAATTTCTCATCCATGTTCCTACCTCATACCAGCGCTAGTGGGTTTAGCGCTTGGTTACAATAATAAACATCCATCATACTCCTAGTATGACACTCCTCGTAACAACATGATGTTAAAGCTTGTACACTAATGATGAGTACAAATAGGATGTGTGTCTGGCGCTCGCCAGACGAAGGACCGAGCCTCCACTGCATCTTGCGTGCTGAATGACCTACATGGGTTTAGCATTTAACATATTTTTTTTCACACTTGTACAACAAGCAGTTTACCAATTTTTTATTAGCAAAATTATTTATTACAATTAACTAAAGTATATTAGCACACTAAAGATATTTTCAATCAGTCAAACTTAATAGCAATGTATAAAACTTCCAGAAATTTGTTGCAACATCTCAACATTTGAAAAACAAGAAGCGTCTCGATATTCAGTTAATTTACTCATGATGCAATAATTTTCAATCTGCTTTAGTAAAATAATGATGGTTTGCTGATATTACACCTATGTCTTCAAGGCTCGTATTTGTTCATTACACTTTAGTTACAAAAAACTAAATTACTGCATATTTGCTCGCATTGCTTGTCTACTAGTGCATTTAGAAATGTTATAGACATACCAGTCTGCAATATGGACTATAGATGACACATGTTTTATCAGCCCCATTCCAGTAGCCTCTTATCACCTCTTATCAATATAATGAACAGAGGTAGCAATGCCATGAGGCACTGTTACCTTTCCCTTGCGCGCGCGCGCACACACACACACACACACACACACACACACACACACACACACACACACACACTCTCACACACACACTCTCACACACACACTCACACACACACTCTCACACACACACACTCTCACACACACACACTCTCACACACACACACTCTCACACACACACACTCTCACACACACACACACTCTCACACACACACACTCACACACACACACACACACACACACACACACACACACACACACACACATACTCACCACACACTCACACACACTCACACACACACACACACACACACACACACACACACACACACACACACACACACACACACACCACCACACACTCACACTCACACACACTCTCACACACACACTCACACGATCACACACGATCACACACGATCACACTACCATTTGATTCATCATCCAGCCAAACAAAATATAAAATAAAAGAATCATTTGCGTCCCTCTCTTCTTGACAGAAATTCTAAAATGGGAAATAACTCTAATCCTTAATGAGGATTCACTTTACAAATGACCTTCCTTTTGGCAGCCAACATCAACACTTAAAGTGCACATATTACTGCACTTCAGAATAAGCATCAATTAACCCTAACATTTAAAATAATGAACGGATGCTCAAAGTACATTATAATTGTGTGTGTGTGTGTGTGTGTGTGTGTGTGTGTGTGTGTGTGTACCTGGAGAAGAGAGGAGTGTAGAGGAGAGAGAGATTTTGGAAGATGTAAAGCGAATGTTAAGGAACCTTCGAACCATGTGAGAAACTGAGGTAAGGGACCTAAATACTAAAGTGGGAGAAACGGTTAGAGAGGGTGTGGTAGGTATGTTTGGGGTGCTAGGTAAGTTTGGGGTGCTAGGTAAGTTTGGGATGCTAGGTAAGTTTGGGATGCTAGGTAAGTTTGGGGTGCTAGGTAAGTTTGGGGTGTTAGGTAAGTTTGGGGTGCTTGGTAAGTTTGGGGCGCCAGGTAAGTTTGGGGTGCTAGGTAAGTTTGGGGTGCCAGGTGTCAATGATAAGGGGGACCTTTGAATTTTGTATAGAAAGTGGTTTGGTAATAGGTAATATACATTTTAACAAAGATATAATCGGGCATAATGAGAGTAGTTTGCTGGACTGTGTATTGGTAGATAAGACTGATGGGTAGACTTCAGGATGTACATGTTTATAGTAGGACACAGATACCAGATAATTTATTAGTTGTTGCTACAGAGAGAGTAAAAGGTAGATAAGATAAAAGGGGAATGGAATCAGCAGGTAAGAGAGAAGTGAAAGTTAATAAACTAAACAATAAGGCAGTTAAGGTAAGATATAAACAACTGTTGAAAGAAAGATGGGCTAGTGAGAGTATAGGCAATGAGGTTGAACAAGTATGGTGTAGATTTAAGAATGCAGTGTTAGTGCTCAGCTGATGTTTGTGGTTACAGGAAAGTGGGTGCAGGAGGGAAGAAGAACGATTGGTAGAATGATGATGTAAAGAGAGTAAGAGAGAGAAATAGCATATGAGAGATTTTTACAAAACAGAAGTGATACAAGGAGGGAGGAGTATATGGAGAGAAAGAGAGAGGTTAAGAGAGTGGTGAAGGAATGTAAAAGAGTAAATGAGAGAGTAGGCGAGATGCTATCAACAAATATTGTTGAGAATAAGATAAAGTTTTGGAGTGAGATTAATAAGTTGAGTAAGCCTAGAGAACGAAAGGATTTGGCAATTAAAATTAGGAGAGGAGAGTTATTAGATTGAGAATTAGAGGTATCGAGAAGGTGGAGGGAATATTTTGAGGAACTGTTAAAAGTTGAAGAAGATAGGGAAGCTGTGATTACGTGCTTTGGGGAAAGAGGTATAACATCAAGTAGGCTTGAGAAAGAGCTAGTTGTGAGTGCGGGGGAAAGTGGGTGAAGCAGTGGGTAGAATGAAAGGGGTAAAGCAGCTGGGATTAATAGGATATTGACAAATGTTAAAAGCAGGTGGGGATATAGTTTTGGAGTGGTTAGTGTTTTTATTTATTAGGTGTATGGAAGAGGGAATGGTACTCTGGGTAATAAGCCTGTTGAGTATATATAGTAAAGTAGTTATTATTGAAAGAAGAGCAAGGCAGAGAGCAGGATAGATGAACAAGGCTTTAGGAGAGGTAGGGAGTGTGTAGACCAAATGTTTACTATGAAACATATAGGTGAACAGCATTTGTTGCATTTATGGGTTTGGAAAAGGTGTATGATAAGGTATATAGAGGGGCAATGGGACAGATGTTGCAAATACATGTATATGGAATAGGTTACTGAAAGCAGCAGTTTTTTTTTTACGAGGATAGTGAGACTCAGGAGAGAGGGACATTATTTCCCAGTAAAAGTAGGCCTTAGACAGGGATGCGAGATGTCACCATGGTTGTTAAGTACATTTAAACATAGGGTTGTAAGAGAAGTGAATGCTCGGGCGTTGGCAAGAGGTGTGGGATTAAAAATAAAGAATCTAACACAAAGTGGAAGTTGTCACAGTTGCTGTTTGCTGATGACTCTTTGCTTTTGGAAGATTCTGTAGAGACGTTGCAGAGGTTGGTGGACAAGTTTAGTAGGGCATGTAAAAGACGGAAAATAAAAGTGAACATAGGATGTTGAGGATAATTTTATGTAATGAAAGATTGGATATCAGATTGGAGGGAGGGAGATTGGAGGAAGTGAATGTAATAGGATATGTGCGAGTGGACTTGGCAGTAAATGGGTCTATGAAAGACGAGGTGAATCGTAGAACTGATGAGGGGAAGAATGTTAGTAGTGCACCTGAGAAGTCTGTGGAGACAAAGAACGTTATCCATAGAATCAAAGAGGGGAATGTATGAGAGTATAGTTATAACAACGCTCTTATACACGTGTGACGCATGGGAGGTAAATATTGAAATAAGGAAAAGGCTGAGGCAGTGGAGATGTCGTTTCTGAAAATAATGTGAGGTGTAAATATACGATAATGCAGAGAATCCATAGCTTGGAAATTAGGAGGAGGGTTGGTGGTTACTAAAAGTATTATCCAGATGCTGAGGAGGAGGTTTTTGAGGTGGTTCGAAAACAGAGAATGAAACGAAATAGAATTAATTGCAGATCCTATAAATTTTTAGTGGAAGGAAAGCGGAGTAGGGGTAGGCTTAGGAAAGGTTGGAGGGAGAGGGTAAAGGAGGGGCTTGGACTTCTAAGAAGCGTACGTTAGCGTGTTAGATAAGAGCAAGTAGAAACAAATGGTTTTAATGACTTGACGTGCCGTTAGTGTGAGCAAAGTAACATGAAGGGACTCAAGGAAACCGGCAGGCTGGACTTGAGTCCTGGAGGTGGGAAGTATAGTGTTGACACTCTGAAGCAGGTGTGTTAATATGTTGCAGCTTTTTAACTGTAGTGTAAGTGCACTTCTGGCAAGACAGTGATGGAATGAATCATGGAAGTGTTTATTCTTTTCTGGTCACCCTCCCTTGGTGGTAAATGGCCAATATATTAACAGAAATTAGTACTGTCTCACTACTCATTCTTCCAATCAAAGGTTCCTTAACGAACCATTACCTCTGTTTCATTAAGAAAATTCACAGCTTATTAGATACAAAAATAAAAAAAAAAATATAATGAATATGGAGCAGCCTGAAATATACTTTTAAACACACAAACATACTAATGAACGTAACTGTTTCACACCTAAAACTTTAAAATACAACAAAAGAACTGCGTACAAAAGAACCCATCATAAAACAAATATAGAAAAGTAAAACAGCTTAAATTATTCAGTTCGACACCTAGACCATACCAGGGAATTAAACTGTTATCACCTGTTCTCCCTTCAAGTTTCAACAAGTCTGTTACTCGTCTTGGACAAAAAGAAACATACAAGACACGGCATAAAAGGTAAATACTGCTTACTAATGCATCAAAAATTTCAAGCGCAGAAAAAAATGTACAAATCCCATTTCCATCTTTCATTTTTTATATGCTGGCCTTACAATTGTTTACCTTAATCCGAATTCCAAAATACATCAAAACAATTTCTATAAGGAGAATACATACTTAAATATTTTGTAAACAAGTGTTTAATACAGCAATATCAAACTTTTAGAAAAGTCTCTCTCTGGAAGTCATTATCATATACTTAACTAGTTTTTTAAATATTATAAACTATTAGGAGAATCTTTTCGTAAGTATCTTCCCAGAATGGTTTCCCTACATTCCAGATTTGTATCCCTAATCATTTACATTGAACACCTCCTGCCCTTGCCTCATAAAAGGTTCCAAGGTTGTTACCTCACAATTACACTCGGTAAACAGTTACACAGATTTTTCATGAGAGACTATAATAAATAATGGACATTAGATTGTTGTCACCAGGGAAAATGACGTCAGCCTGAGGTTGAGAGATCATGGTACAAAGCTAAATGTTTACACTTACACAAGATGAAGGAAGATAAAGAGGGGGAATTTGAAAAAAGGGGTAATTAATTAAATTAATATTTAATTGCTGCCACCACCTGCAAGCATGCAGGCCTAAGCATTCGACACAACCATGCA